TTTCTCAACATGCAACTTCTTTGCAGAAGAGTGGGGTTGTTTGACATGGTCATAAAGAGTAACTACATGAGTGACATGAGTGCTCAGTACTCCTGGCACCCCCTTGCGAGATCTCCAACAATTGCTGCTGGCCCGATTCAAATCCGGCCCCGCCCAATTCGAACCTAGCATTGCCAGTTCAGAATTTAGTACTGCCGGATTCAAGTTTGGGTACTTCCCCAGTAGACTTTGGTACAACTTTAGTCCGACGGCCCTTCCGATGTAGTTCTGCCGATTCAACTGTAGCACTGACCAATTTAATTTTGGCACTGCAATTCAAACGTAGAACTGCATACTGTAAAGTAGCACCGGCGCAGTCAGACGTGGTGCTGCCTACATCAAACGTACTCTTGCCCAATCAAAATTGAGTGTTGCGCAATTGAGAACATCACTACCTCCTGCCCAATTTAGAAGTAGCACTGCCCAATTTAGCCCAATTTAAAAGTAGCACTTGCCCAATTCAAATCTAGCATTGCCTAATCCACGCGCAGTACTGGTTAAATGTCCCACTGCCCGACTCACATTTTGTACTGCCCAATCCAACCTAAGTACTGTTCAGTTCAAAATTAGCACTGCAATTCAGGTGTGATGCTGCCCAATTGAAACGCAGTGTTGCCCAATTCAAATTCAGCTTTGCTCAATTTTGAAGCATTATTGCCCAGTTCTAAAGTATTGCCTACAGCCAATGCAGTCCCTTTGGACAGGTTGGTGAATAACTTCAACGTTCATATTCTAGTCCCACGGTGCCCTGGTCTTTCTGGTCCCCCCTGTCCTTTCCTGGCCAGCGGCATAGTTTCATGACGCGCCGATACCTGCCGCCTACCAAATTCAAGCGTGAACCATTCCCAACCAGGGCCCCAAACCAAGCCGGCTGAACAGTCTGCAGGCTGGTTAAAAAGCGCAGTTGTTTAGTGTTCACAGCACCCTGCTTCCTTTTCCCCAATCACTTGTTGATTGACAAGCTTTGTACAGTTGAGCACATTTTTTCCCCACAACCTTTCTGCTCTACCCCTTGGCCGGTTGTCCATTGGGCAAACACAGTTGTCGTTTTTGGCCTAGGAGGAGAAACTCATCATGCAGATTGGATCCAGGCTGTCCGTCAAAGTTTCAAAAGCCATCCTGACCGATGGAATCATTCTTCTCTTTTGGCAGTTGCCCATCAAGTCGGCAAATTCCTTTGGCTTGGCTGTTTTGCATTTGATATGTTTCCCTCAAACAAACTTCTTTGGTTCTTCCGCTAGGGTCCAGTGAATTTAACAAAATCTTTCTCACAAGATACATCCAACTATATAGTTATCCTTTGCCTCCAAATATGGCCTTCCCTTTGCATCCTGTTTTGGTTTAGGTTTGGCTTTGCTTGAATCACACAGCTCTGCGATGACCCGAGGCAGTGCATGAAGATCAGCCAGTATTTACTGGGTCTCCTCCTCAGCCTGCTAAGTTGGTGCTGAATCTGCAAGGGGAATCAAGGCGAATCTTGGGGCTCAATAGAGATTGATATATCATCCCTTTTGGAACATGCTGAGAGCCACAAGTCACCGGGGAGCTGCAGAGTGGATATGTATGCTGAGTAGGGGTTGTCACGTTGCCATCGGCTCTGGGTGTTAGACAGTCGTCGGATGGATTCGGCGAAACATGGACTTGGTCACCTGGCAAGGTTTTGGCCACTGCTGCAAGTGAATGGTTTTCAGCTTCTGGGTTGTGCTTGGATCACAACCATATTAGCCATCATTTATTCTGTTGTGTATGTTCTTGAGCCAGGGGAAACAAATAGCCGCAGTTGCATGCAGAGCAGAGTTTCGGGGAAGGTCCTTGTCATCGACGAATGATTTGAACATTGCAACATGTCGTGGATTTGAGATATTTGTGCTGGGAAGCCTAGGGAGACGCTACTGTAATCCTGCAATGGCTCTATCCTGGAACGACAAGTGGGGCGATACTGGTGCAAGTAGGACCCTTAGCTCGAATGCCTTTGCTGCTAACCATGGATGCATCCGGGTCGGGCAGGGACTTGGCCAACGGGAAGCTGCCAGTGGTGAGTACATGATCAGATAGAGGTTAACTTTCTGACACTTACATGCTTGGCTTTCCCGGGTCCAATTGTGACCACTGCTTTTCGGAACCACAAGGACATAAATGTTCGGCCTTTCAATTCGAGTTCTTTCATAGACGCTGTCTTCAGTTTGGGCAGAAGCGTACAAGGATCCAGCCAACCCCAGGAGATTGTGCTGAGGTCTCTATTGCAAGGATTGAAAGGTTCCAAACATGGCAGCTCCCTGGTACTCCTTGATATTCTGAAAGAACTCCAGTCTCACCCTCTTTCGAAGTTTCTGAAACGCAGTTTCTTCTCTAACACAATGGCATTTTTGCAAGCATCGTGTTCATGGGAGTCCTTTTGGGGTAAGCATGGACGGAACTGGTTTCAGATTGAAGCCAATTCAGATCAGGTGCCTTCTGTTCTTTTGGTCGAAAGAACGCCACTCCCTCAGGCTACCGGCCGGAAGCTCCCAGGCCTTAATGGAGCCAGGCCTTCCAAAGCTCGTGGCTGGCTCCCTCCCTCCTCCCCCCAAACCCTCCCCCCCGGGCATGACAAGGGGTCCTGGAGCTCCCATGGAATTGCCGGGAGCTGGAGAGATCGTGGCAGCTGAGGCCTTCTGAGCCCGTTGATCTTGCAGCGAGTGCTGGTCTTCCAAGAGGAGGGGAACTTCTTTTTTGGGACCCTCGATGTGAAGCAAGCAAGACCAATAGGAACCTTTGGCTTTGTTTTAGGGTAGCTTTTTCCTCAGACTGGTTTAGGGGTGACCCTATTTTGACCCACATCACATCCCTCTACAGCTATTTGTATTCGAGGAAACTTACTAGTATCAGTCCATGATAAATTTGGGAGGGGATTGTCACTGCGAATTGTCAGGGAGACCCGGTCAAAGCTGGCAGAACCACTGCCAGCATTTGTTTCTTTTTGGGACTTTGCGAGCCAGATGGAGGGATCGATTGAAGCATGTCATTTGCCGATGCATGGAGGGGTCCACGCAGACAACCGTGGGTGTTTGCCAGTGAAGATGGCCGGAGTGGTGACATGTTTGAGGGCAGGGTTCAGCTTCGAAATCTTGCCAAGTGAACCCTAACTTTGGGTGGACTCCTATTCTTAAAATATGGGTTTCAGTTTTGGTCGCCTGGGGGGCAACGGTATGGCTCGCGATCCCCGGCCTTGCGTCGGACTGGGGATGGGGTATTGGGATGGTATTACTGATAGTATGGCTCAACCAAACCAAGTAACCCACTTTGCCGCTTTCACTGTTGATTCTGTTTTCCCATGCCACACGGAGGACTCCTTCAACAGTACATTGATTCTCCTGCATCCTCGGTGAGAGGGGGGTTCCGTAAAAATGCAAGAATTCGGTGGCGAAATCCAGGAAGAAAGTGGGAATCTTTCATTTAAATGCCTTGCTTTCCAGGCGCAGGAATCCGGAAAGCAGTTGGCCAGTGATGCGATGACCTCAGCTGGCGATCACGCTTAGTTGGGAGCGCTTGGGTTGCAGCAGTCAGATTTACGCTATGTACTTGTGCTATGTTCATTGTGTACACAAGAAGTAGGACATTTGACTCATGTGAGATTCTTGAAGTAATACATGCAGTGGGGGTCGTTCACTTGGGGCAGGTGAGGCAAGCTACGACTGTTGACCGTACGGGGACACACCTTCAAGCGGTTCGCAAGAAAGGTTGCCCGTATTTTTCGGCACCAATTGAATATTTGTCACTGATATGTAATCGTATAGATGGCATTCTAAGCAACACACAGCTGAATGGGCAGATGTCAGCCAGGCTGGCTGTTTGCATTAGGGCTGGAAAGGGGCCATGTATGACAAGCTGCAGCGCTGAATCAATGCATACTGATTGTGTCGACGCCTGCTGACAGAGAAAGCGCCATGGTTTTCATGAACTCCGTTGCTCTCGTGATCTCTTATGCGGAGTATGGAACACACGTGACGGTTGGATGTTCGACTTGTTAGTGCAGGTCACTCTGCATGACTGCGTTTGACGGTTTGCCAACTCCTTCTCAGAACATGCGAGGAGTTGCTTGATACGATGTGGGGACTGACATTACTCGAGGCTCTTCTACAGTGATTACTGAAGGGTGCATCAAATGGGTTATTCAATGCACTAGCATACCAGGCATGAGCAAGCTGTTCGTTCGTTACTAATTTTCGGGAAGTGTCAAGTCCCCCGCCCCCCGGGTAGATAGTCCAAACTTACAAGCATTACATGGTTCATCGCTGTTTCTTTGAGATTCTAGTACTTTAATGCTCTTAAGTTGTAAGCGCCTTGTCTCAGAGGGATACCTCTCCGGGGTACCTGAGAATTGCTCCGATTATTACGCATTTTGAGTGACTACAACTGGTGATTTTGTCATGGAGCCATCCCGGATCAATGCAAATGACTCGTGGCATCAGGTGTCTTGGACCATGCCTTGATTGAACCCAATGCCAGCCCATGGCTTCACAACCAGTATGAGGCTGCAGCCCATGGCTTCACAGCCATCGGAGCTTTGATTTGTCCAAGGCTCAGCATGGACGGGCAAATTGCCGCGGGCGTCGCGGGTGTTTTTCTGCGTCAGGACAAAAAGAAGAAACGACCTCGCCCGGGAGTGGAATGAGCTCGTTCTGGCTACAGGGGCCTTTTCTTCTTTTTGCCTTGTTTTGATTGATGTCTCGGTGGATGGAAATTGTGAATGCTTGGCAACACGACCATCCGATAGCAGTGTATAGTTGTCGGAACCTTAGAGTAGCAAGGAGGATTGGCATGAGCCGCATTGGCACCGACACATGCAGTGCATGCGCTTGTTGAGACCCTGTCAACGTTAAAGGTAGAGGGAAGCCATGGGAAGTCATTGTGCCCAATGCACGCATGAAACTACTCGTGTATCAGCTTGCAGCACAGGATGATCTCTGCAGAGACAATTACTGCCAGCTTCAGGATGGAAATCACCTTTCAGGTGTCTAGTGGAAATGCTGTTTGCATCATCTTGGAAGCTCATGCAGAATCAAACACTTTGAAGGGGTTACTCTGAACATGTTGCATTTGCTCATGAGAGCGTTAAACTAAGGCAAGGCATCCTTGAAAATGGCTGTCGTCATACTTTTTTCTGGCTTGTTGGGTTTCTTTCAACCAGCCAGAAACTGGGAGTCAAATCTTCTTGTGCATGCTCTATAGTTCCTCAGATAGCTGTCGAGTATTGTTTCTTTCAACCCGCCTCTTGGCTAAACATTTCTACATTCTGCTTAATGGACACTTCCAAGTACAATCTCCGTGCAAAGAAGGAGAGTAGATGGGTTTGTCCCTTTTCAAGGGAACCCGAACCCCTTTTTGGTTGGCTTCAAAGAAGGGCCAACAGGAAAACCACCTTTCTCGGGGGCTTCGATTCAAAAAAGACGAGCCATCCGTATCCACACGTCACACGTTCTTCGGCGGTGCCGAGGCCTGGGCCTCTTCAATTTGTCGGGGAGACCCAGCGAGGGTTCTCTCCCTTGTGGCCGGGGAAGTCTGGGGGAAACGGGGTTGGTGGTTTTGTGGGCTGGGGTTTTCTGGGGTTTTGGTGGTTTTGCCCCACTTGTTTTCCACTTTTTGATGGGTTGGCCCACTTTTTTGCGTGCTTCAGTTGTGTCCGGCTTTTTTCTGGAGCGGTGCGCCGGGCCTTGTAAGATGGATGCCGGAAACGCCACCAAACCACTACACCCCAAGAGGCAAACCATCCCGATTGGGCAATGTAGTATATACATGTTCTTAAGTGTGGGTGCAACTGGCTGGGTAGCACAGGGGCCAAGTGACCCGGCGATTCTGAGGCAGGTGACCTGCTTTTTGGGAGTCAGCAGAGTCACTTGTACTTCAAAGGCGCATGTGTTTGTCAAGGGCGGATTGGAGCAACTTCAATGTCTCTGCGGTTTCATGCGGCAAGAGTTTCAAGTCCTTCGCATGCGAGACTCGTGAGCTGCTTGGGCAGGCCTGGCCCCTGCTCGACAGCTTGTGGCTTTTGAATTCCGAGAGTGATATGTTTTAGTTGGAGAGTACGTCTGAGTCACAACAGCAAGCCATGTGGCTGGGTAGCTGGCCAACTCCTTCATGGTCACATGTAGATGTATGGGGGTTGAGGTTGGGATTTGGACCCAGATTGCGTTGTTGGATTCCACGCTGAGGTTTTACAACACCCAGGTCGATCTGTGGAAGGCGCGCCGTTGCAAGGAGCTTCCTGTTAGTGCACCAAACATGTACCACACGTGTGTGGTGGCTGAAAGGCCTGTTTTCTTGGGCTTGGAAACCTTGATGGGGTTTCAGCTGACTATTGCTCATCCTGCTGCCATGGTCCGGATTTCACATCACACATACTAACCACGACTGCACAACCTTGCAATCAAGCTTTTGCTGTGGATGTCAAACAAGTTTTTGCCAGCTGGCCTTGTTTTTTTGAAACGATCACGGCTACCTGTCTAGCATCGCAGCGGACATACTGTGTCTTCCAGCCCGATTGTCATCCCACTTTGTTCACGAGGCTACGAGCTCATGCTGGCTGGTTAACCAATGTTTATGTGATTGTCCATGCGTGCGAGTGTGCGTGCGGTGTGGAACGGGACGTCCACGGCGTGATTTTGTTACCTGGAATTCTGGTGAGAAGTGCTACAAAAGATCAACGGGCTGTTCGCTGCTGCCCAGGGCTATGACTCAGCGTACGAGCCAGGTATGTGAGGTCAGGATCAGCCATTGGCATTATGTATGTACTAACAGTGTTGGGAATAGTATGGGACAAACTGTTGTCCGTGCCTCAACTGTGGGTTTGAACAACAGCAAGCCATCAGAGAAGCTGTCACGACTTCGACACTCGCCTATTCAACAATGAATATGCATTCTTATGCACCTATGTCCTCCTTGTTTCACCACCATCTCGTCATTGCAAGGGATCCGTTTCGCAGCTGATGCGCAGAACCGCCTGGACATCCGCATTGGCGCCTCACTCAAGGGGGCGCTGCTCTTCAGAGGGGTGCCTCGCCAAGGGGCGATGGGGGTTGGAAGCGGAGCACTTTGTTCGGCAATAGGTGCTGGCGGTTCAATATGAAATGTGTTTTTTGCCTTGTCACCATGGTTTGCTGCGCCTTTGGACAAATTGCGGGTCCCTGGATGACCGCTTCTTTTAGCATTGGCAAGATAAAGATCCTCCAATCATTTGACATTGTGTGTGTGGGTGAGTGTCCAGTATATCGAGGGATTCAAGCTTGTCCAACGTCGAGGGTTCCAAGTTTGTCCGGTTGTGATTTCACAATACTAAATACATACTGTAATGTCGCAACCTGTGCCCCGGATCAGGATCCTTCAAACGGGTTTGGCTTGACTCGCACAGGAGGGGTGGAGGAGAAAGGCAAACAGAAGGGGGGGAACTTCTGCCATGGGTCGCTACGCCTAGAATCCGCAACGTTGCGTGGTCTGTTTTCACCAACACGTGTCTTTGAAAACAGTGCTCGTGCCAAGGCGCGAGTCACCAATTTCAGGGCGACTCGCACATGCAAACATTCAAATCAATGCAAGCGTGTGCAACATTGGGCGGCTCCAACCGTCAAATCAAACTCCAAATGCCTGTCTCACAGCATGTTTGTCGGCATGAACCGCAAGTTCATTGGGCAAGGATGTCCTTCGAATTCTAGTATGATGGACTGGCTCACAGCACCTATGGAAACCAGTGCCGCAGACATGTTGGCTCAAGTTGCAAATGGCTCCAGACTACGTTGTGTCGAGATGGCCAGAGTGTACAGCATCCCAGCCTACGCACGAATACCATCAGTGGGCATGGAGTGCTGGGCGACTTTGACGTGGTCAAGCGCAATGCCGACTACCGATCATATGTCAGGGATGCTGTCCACCAGCACGGCAACGAGGCTGCAGAGGCTTTACATTTAGCCAGATTCCACAACAGAAATGAGAGAAGCTCGGCTGTCGCTTCAGCCAAAGCAATTGCGGACTCATTCCTCAAGGAGCATCCAAATGTCGAAATCATAGATGGTAGCGTTGCAGGGCATCTGTTCTACCATAGAGTGATCAACGGCAGCCAGGATGTTCAAGCAAGAGACTTGAAGGTCATGGGCAAGCTCTGGGGAATAGCCAAGAGTGTGCTTCAGCCAGTCTTTTGGGTAGCTGTGCGACGCCGCAGTACGTGTTTGAAGGCATCGGCAGACTTGGTAGTTCTCCTCGGGAGAGGGTCCAAAGATCCTGCGTCTTTACGATGAGCTGATGAAGAGGCTGTCTTGACACCCTGCAATCATCTGCGCCTTCTGTTGCGGGGAAGCTCATCACGAAGGCAGAGAAGAATGAGGCTATCTTTCATGTGGCGAAAGTCAACAAGTTCTACCTCTACCTCATGAGAACAAGGGCTGCCGAGAAATGGAGGATACTTTTCTTGAGGCATGGTTCCTTCTGCGTTCAAGGCTCTATCTTCAAGGCTGCAGATCCAAAGCAGGGCTCCATCCTTGCTTACCCCAAGACTACGAGCCAGAGGAGATCTACAAAAGGGGCAAAAGGTCTTACAATTTGAAGGAGCTTCGCTGTACAGAAAGGTTTTGGACATCTTCGCAGCTGGTGTTCCTGTTGACGACCCAACTCACCAGACCTTTGTCTAATTCTTCGAGCGCTGCATGTGCAAACAGGGTGCGTGGGACAAGTGCTGTAGCTTTGCTCACAAACGGGTATGTCACAACTTGGGCCGGCGCAACTGGAATTGTACGCTTGCCGGTTCCAGATGTCAAGAGCAAGAACCCTCGACGCGTTGCATCAAGAGCAGCGCGTGAGTGGCCGCGTGGCCCAACACAGGAGGCGCAGTCCGCACAACAGCAGAGACAGCCTTTCTCCAGATCGTGCTTCGCTTCAAAGCTACACTTCTTGATCTTTGGCTTGGCGACAAGGGCGAAACACTCAGAAGCTTTTGGCCTGCTCCTCGAGGCATATACATGAGCAAGAACCCTCCTTTCGACGCGGAGGACTGCGTTTGGAGAGTCTCATTATGTCAAAGGCGTGCTTGGAGCTGCTGAAGCCAAGGAGTTTGCAAGCATGATGGTCAGTGGCAACATGAAGGTGTCTGATAGCTTGAAGTCGACGATGAGGCCCTGGACGAGTGCATACGACATACCGCAGCATTGATGGAGGTCAAAAGTTTCAGAGAGCCTTACACCGGCACAAGTATCAGACCTCGTATTGATCCACTCTTCACAACATTGTTGTCGAGAGAGAGCAGTGCTCGGATCAAGACGGCGTGCTGTGTCATGCCAGGGCAAGAAACAGGAGCAGCGTCGAGCGTGCTCTGAGAGTTGACAGGCGGCTTGATCCGCTCCTTGTCCAAGAGAGCCGCCGGTCGATGACTGGCTGGCAGCCCTTGACAAAGTTCCTCTACCAGCGCCAACACGGCTCGGCAAGAAGCGCAAAGCAGACGCAGAGGCCACAGCGGCTCGGAAAGCCACCCTGCGCAGGACAAGCAAGGGCAGGCCAGCCAGGAGACTCTGCAGACCATGCCGCCCCTGTCAACCAGGCACGTGCTTGACTTCCCAAACAGTGTAGTCGTGCCAGCCCTCACTGCCAGCCGGAAGAAGTGGGAGTTCTGGGTGTCACCGCGCGGCTTTGGCGCCAACAGGCAAGGCCGGCAATCAATGATGTTGACACATGCTACAGAGCCTTCAAGAGGCCTGCGAAGCTTTTTGACATCGAGAGTCCTGCAATCCACAGGCTGACAACAAGCTACTTGCGGAGAAAGGCTGGGCAAGCTCTTGAAGGAGCAAGGGACCCAAAGCGCGAGGCTCAGAAGGATTATGCTCAATGGGCAAGCGTTGCGGAGGCAGTGGCTAAGCGTGCGCTCTCATGTGATCTCAATGATGCTCATGTACTCATAGATGCTTGAGCGGTTCCTTCAGATCTTGAGCACCACGTCGAGCAAGGGGAAAAAGCAACTCGGCAAGAGAAGCATATCCTTCTTGCCTTAGCAAATGTCTTTGAACACTTTGTCGTCGACAAGCTCTTCGATGCTGTTCTGGAGTGAAGGGGACATTTCGCAGGGACTCGAAGAAAGGCTGGATTTGGATGGCCTAAGTTGCAATGAAGTGGCTGCCCTGCTCAGACGGTTGAGTGTCCATGACTTCCGGTTCTTCTCGTAGTACAGGGATCCCAAGGTGCCGCTGCAGCAGTGAGGACACTGCTTCCCATTCCACGAAGAAATGAAGCCACCTTTGCGGAGTAACCTCAAAAGGTTAGCTCCTTTTGTCGTGAGCAACTTCTGGATGGAGATGGACCACCTGTGCTTGTTCTTGTTGAAGTGGGGCTCCTTGTTGACATGCTTGTGCCGCACTTAGGAGCAGGCCACGGAGAAGAGGTCTTCGCCTTCAACTTCTTCACGGGCTTTGGCATGGCTGGGGCACGCAGAAGCCAACAACAGTAACAAGCTACATACAGGCGACCTGAGAAGTGTCGTGGGTACATCGGCATGCTGTGCTTCCAAGCATACTGCGCATCAACACTATGAGCATGGCATGCTGCGCAAGACATTGAGTATTGAAAGAACTAATGTCATTTGCCACTGCTTGAAAGAGTTTGTTGGCACGGACCTTCTGCCTGGCTTCGCGCGCACAAGCTTTCCAAAACTAGGACCTAACACACCTATAGGTATGTTGCCATTCTGCAACCTAGCAGCCCTTGCATGACTCACCCGCACCAGGCTCACTCCTCATCCACATCCATCTCATGCGAGGACTGACCCACAGATTCCTTCTCCATGTTGTCCATGATCGATGTTCCCCAACTCTTGCTCGAGCTCATCGCCAGCGTTGGCTGCTTGGCCGCGGCAAAGACGGACTCGGTCTCATCCGCAACGTCACCCTCGGGCTCGATTATGTCACTGACATGCGGCATAGTCACTGACGCAGGCTGGGCATCCTCAGGCAGCTCAAGCTTCACTTTGATTTGCTCGTCAGCCATGGACCATCCTGGGCGAGCCGCTCATTGATGCTGAGGGCGGAGTACATCCTCTCAGGAGGATTGACTCGCGATGGCTCCGCATCCAAGAAAAGAGAGGTGTGCCGGACGACGCAGCGGACAGGAAGGTTTTCGTTGCCGGCCATGGCAGCTTTCACCCACTTTGCTTCCCACTTGAGCTTGTCATCAAAGTCCTCTGGCAAGCTGGTGCCTCCCTTGCGGTAAAAAGTCGTAGATACGACGAGACTCTTCGTCCAGGAAGTCAGTCTTCTCTTTCAGGGGCTTGCGAAGAACAGGCGCTTTTTCCTCACCTGCAGCAGGACGGATGTAGGGGAAGGTCTTCGTGTTGACGATAAGGTGGGTGCGCTTCAGGACTGCCATGACATTAGCATCATTTGCTTCTTTGGGATACCAAGCCGCGTCCAGCATCTTTGCACATATAGGAGATCTGGCCTGCTCGTTTTGCCATGATGGGAAGGTCATCCTTTGGCTCTTGGTTGGAGTCGAAGGCGCTGACGCAGTAAATGCGGCGCCCCAGCGTTCCTTAGACATGGAGTCTACATTGCCCAAGTCTTCCATTTCTTGAAGGGCTGCTTGCTGAGTGTGCCATCATCAAAGATATCCGGCCGGAGACGGGATCCGGATTGTTCCCCAAACAGTGTGTCTACACTAAGGGGTTCTTACGGTAAGAGAAAAGGCCTTGGTGCCAGATTGAGGTGCCCGCTCTGTCCGCGAGCGTTTTGCGTGGTATTTACCGCAGATTCGTGCTCTTGCTTGATGTCGAAGTGCGTTTCGACTGCGCAGGCTCGGACAAAGTGAGTTGGCGACTTCTGTCCGCGAGCGTTTTGCGTGGTATGTACCGCAGATTCGTGCTTTTGCTTGATGTTGAAATGCGTTTCGACTGCGCAGGCTCGCACAAAGTGAGTTGGCGACTTCTGTCCGCGAGCGTTTTGCGTGGTATGTACCGCAGATTCGTGCTTTTGCTTGATGTTGAAATGCGTTCTCGCACAAACTCGATTTTTTTGCTTTTTTGGCGGCTCCGGGACCGTGGGGGTTTTGTCTCGTGGTCCGGCGGCACGGGTTGTCCCGGGCTCGATTCCCGCCCTGTCCGCGCGAGTGGATCCATGCACAAATCCGCCTGCCGACTTTCTTTGACAACTCTTTCCGCTGTGCAGACGAAGCTGCCATGCAACAGTGGATCGACCAACCTCCGCGCCTTCGCGGCCTGCCGCCCCTCGCAGCGCTGCACCGCATGATAACATGGCGCCAAATGAGTTTGACGCCTTCTTGTGTGCCCTGCGATCTGGGAGCGCGCGCTTTATGTACACGCCTGCTGTGGAAGGGTCCGAGCCAGACAGCCCAGTCTTTGGGTCTGCCTTGATAACGCTTCTGTGCTGCGAGAGCTTGCCACTAGCACTCTGCGTGCGCCGCGTCGGCTGTTTGCAGCAACAAGCTACCACGCCTTGACCGCAGCGCCTTTGCATCTACCAACAGACTGGCCTGCTGCGGCTGCGCGCAGTGCAACGAATCCATCCCAGCAGCCCTGTCCTGCGATTCTGCCGTCTCACCGATATGTGCTGCTCATGGAAGAAAAAACGAGCATGCCTGCTGGCCATGCCTGTGCGCCTTTTTTGTTCTTGGTGCTGCATGTGTCTCTACTCCCACACACGTTTCGCAATCAACATGAAAACACACTAGACACAGACACAGACACAGACACAGACACAGACACAGACACACAGAGACACAGAGAGACAGAGAGACAGAGAGACACAGAGACACAGAGACACAGAGACACAGAGACACAGAGACACAGAGACACAGAGACACAGAGACACAGACACAGAGACACAGAGACACAGAGACACAGAGACACAGAGACACAGAGACACAGAGACACAGAGACACAGAGACACAGAGACACAGAGACACAGAGACACAGAGACACAGAGACACAGAGAGACACAGAGACACAGAGACACAGAGACACAGAGACACAGAGACACAGAGACACAGAGACACAGAGACACAGAGACACAGAGACACAGAGACACAGAGACACAGAGACACAGAGACACAGAGACACAGAGACACACAGAGACACAGAGACACAGAGACACAGAGACACAGAGACACAGAGACACAGAGACACAGAGACACAGAGACACAGAGACACAGAGACACAGAGACACAGAGACACAGACACAGACACACAGACACACAGACACACAGACACACAGACACACAGACACACAGACACACAGACACACAGACACACAGACACACAGACACACAGACACACAGACACACAGACACACAGACACACACACACACACGACCATGGCGCTGGCTTCGACACGTGTCTGCTGCATTCTCTTGCGCGTGTCTGTTCCAGGCCGTGTCCTTGTCTTTGTGAATGTGCGCGCAAATACCGCAAAATGATGTTGCAGCTTCCTGACAACAACCGCCGTTTTGCGGCGCTGCCCGCACAATACTCTGCAGCGTGTGACCGCCTATCACTGTTTGGGGTCTCGTGCCGGGGTAATTTTTTGAAAAAAGACGAAAGGAAGGGGTGTCCTCTGACTTTCCAAGGGCATTCACCTCGTAGCGAACAGAGCCATTGCCAAGGTCCTAGCCACAGGCGTCTTCCCTGCACCAGGCTCTCCGTGGAAACCATCTCTGTCATGCTGGGAGTCAAGCTGGCAAGGGAGCTGAGTGTGCGACCATCAATGTCATAGAGCGTTGCCAGATTCCGAATCGACTTCTCAACTAGCACAGATGCCCATTTGTGAATGGGAGAGCCAGGCGTGGAGGTTTGGATGGTGATCCACCTCAACTGCTTGTTCTTCACACTCTCCCTGGACCCGTTCTCCTCGATGAAGTCGAACCCATCGTTCCACTCATCCTCCGTCCTCTCCGCATCGGGCTTGCCATCCTCAGGTGACCGAAGAATGTGATGCCGACACTGGAGGCTGCCCAGGTGCTCGAAAACGAAATGCAAGTATTTTTTCACAGTCCACCATCTGAGGCTTGGTGTAGGTCAGAGCCAAGATGTCGCTGATCTTCGTTTTCTGCCAGGCAGAATTTGCCATTTTTTGCTTCAAGATGGCAATGTCCAACTGGTAAGGCGAGCCAGGGTACTTCTTCAACCCGTAAGGTTCTGGCAGGGGGTTGTCCATCTTGCCAGAAAGAAGCACCTCCTTGACTTGCCCCCAAGGCACTGGCCCGGCAACGTCCATGATGATCTCCACCACACACTTTGCCACCCCTGCAGCTGGCATCTCGTATGTAGGGAGGTCGAGCACGGTCAATGGTCCCTCACTGGCTTCATGGAACGTATGCTTGCTCGTGGGGTACAGGACAAGCCTTGACAACGTCTCCTGAACGTTCTCCAAAGACACATCACCCGAGACAAGCGCGGCCATCTGCCCAAAAGCTTGTTAGCCAAGACACAGAGAGTGAGCACTTGAGCCTGAATGCTAGCATACACCTTGTGCATGCATAAGTGCAAGAGCAGTGCTCGCTATGTCCATGCTCAGCACATGCTGCCACTCATGTTGATTGCAACAAGGAACTTCGGTTGCTGGGGCTGCTAGTCCCTCAGATGTCATCGTATGACAGAGATGTGCAGATGGAAGATTTCATTGCTTGGTGCAGATGTATAATTTCATTGTGGTGCATTCTCACAGAAGCAGGCTTTTTTGCTTTGAGCAGATCTGTGTAGTTTTTTCAGGAAATTGCCTTAGTAGGTTGCTTTTTCACCCAAAAGTAGTTCATGGGGGGGTCTGAGCATATATAATATATATACATATATGTGTATATATATATATATACCCTCCCATTTATCAACATGGAACCTGACAGGGGCTCCCTTTCAAAGGAAAGTGGTCCCCTGAACGTCAGGCTCCATGTTAGTTGGTGGGTATATATATATATATATATGGTATACGTGTATGTATGGACTACTGAAGTGCGATTCTCGGCATATTCTTTCGTCTGGCTTGTCAGCCGAGCCGGGGGTTCCCCGCGAACCCGAGCTCCAGGTGCAGGGCCTCACACAGCCGCCGGGGGAGAGCAGCGAGGAGGCGGGGCTGGCAGATGCTTCACAGGGCAGATGGGCAGATGGGCAGATTGAATCTGGGAGTCAGAGGTTTCCCCGTGCGTTAAGTGCGGAACATAGAATCATGCTGAAACATCATAGTCTGCATCTTTGAACTACCTACCCGGCTACCAGAAGCAGTGCAAACTAGCTCAGTTCACAAACTGGAAATGCGCAGTCTCCTTGTTTTAGTAGCTATCATCACGGGCGAGCTCGCCTAACACCCCTGGTGAGCTTGTTACAATTTGCCCAAGCAGGATTTGAATGCTAAAACAGAATATCTAGTTCATGGTTGAACTAAGTGTGGACTTGTGTGCACTATACATTGGCTACCTGTCATTTTGAGTTGTTGCTTCTTTTTGGTGGGCTGACATGCATGTTGAGTTGTGCACTGTTCGCGACCAAGAGTTGTTTTGCTAGGTGTTTTGCCGGGTTCCCAATCTTATTTGGTCCTGTCATCGGTTCGCCCTTGAGATCGGCAAGTCTCAGCAAGTAGTGCTACTATGAGTGGCCAGGCCATCATAGCGGCACTTTGTTTCTAGAAGACGATGGCGGTCCGGTGCCTGCAAAGTATACCGAGTACAAATACAGGTATGATCTTGTAGCTAGATGGTGCGTGATCCATGAACTTGATATTCTGATGAAATGATGTAGTGATGCCTACGTGTTGGTCAAAAAATGGCCACAAATGCTGAACATATCTTAGATACACTTACCAGTCGAATGTGCGGAGGTAGCACCTCAACTGATCAGGGTCATCAGGCAGTGGATTATCGCTTTTAAAACCCTTTTGGCGCAATCGGATACATGTTTTCATCCACTCTTTTCTGTCCAGTTCAACACTCGCCCATCGGACCCTGAAACGAGGTGTTGCTACCTGCATGCGATGGTTGGGAGTACTGGTTTTCAATTTCTTGCTGTTCTCTTATGCAGTGTCCAACAGAATTCAAAGTTTTCTATAGCGTGCGTCCAAGAAGTTTGCCGTCATACCAGGAGAGACGGGGGCACGAGGCAGCACGCATGCGTGTCTTATTTTTGCCGCCCAGCGGCCCGAACTCGTACCTGCAGGATGTGCACTGTGCACCCCACTTCCGCCAGGTCGTATTTCATGTCAGGAAGTTGCCGCAGCGCCTTTACCAAAGTCCACCTGCCAGTCGCATGTTGTGCCTCCTGCAGTTGTGCTTATGTAGCATGATCATTAATTACCTTTCCATTGCCCTCGTTCACACGCCCCGGCAAAGTACTTTGACATTTGCATGCTCTCTGCCATGAGTTGCGCCGCAGGGCACAACGCATGGGGAAAGCGCAATCTACAACGTCATCTCTTTTGATGTGGGCAGGGTGCTCAGTGCATGTTCCTTGCTCACTGCGAGTAAGCCTTTGGCTGCTACACCGCTTCACACGAACGAAAGCGAATATTGGATATGTTGAGCGCTTGTGTTGCGCTGGTGCTCATACCAGGACTGTCAGAAATACCTTTGATCGACCTCTCGACCTGCTAACACGGGCTGCTGGCTTTAAAGTCTGATGGAAGCAGATTGGCTGGCGAGGGTTTGTCACGCTTTTGCTTTGCTGGAGCAAAACAGGCAGAGCCAAGCCTGCCGCAGGGCGCTATGGGATTTCATCCGGATACGTTTGGTCAGGTCGACATTGGCCCATGATCATACAGCTGCATTTTATTGCTTAGTGCAGAGACGTGCCTTCAAAGTTCATGCCGCCATCATCCCGCTCTCGAAGAGTCATGAACTGGTGAGGCGAACGGCACCTAAAGACGTACACTGAAATGTTGGCAGCTTTCAGGTTTGTGGATGGTATTCGTTTGAGATGGGATGAAACTGCAAGAAGCGTTCCTAGACTCGGTCTGACTCGCAAGCGGGTATAAATCAATTTGCTAAGGATACGTGTGTTTATGTAGATGACGCTTCGGCAGGCTCCGTACTTTAGTCCGATGTTGACATGATTGAGCTAACACCATCAAGACGTAATCGTGGCACTCGCAACTGAGGTGACAGTGTCAACATGGTTTGGGTCCTGCTCGATGTCCAGGCCTAAGTGACAACTCGCCCCTATGACCCTCCCGGTGCGGAAGCGCATAGGCTTTCTTTTACAGGATGTTTCGCAAGGGATGCACAACTTCCGGGGGTGGCAGCCAAAGTCTTTAAGTTATTGATGCCGTTGGCAGGATCTTTGTTTGCCAAGTTTTTCTCACTCAGGCTTGGGAGGAGATGATTGCGCCACTAAACGTCATAGTTATTCAAACTACGAATCCACAGACAGTGGAGAAGGAATTGGCAAAAATTGCGGCCGATGGAAACTGGAATTGACAAACGAATGACAGCTTCTCTAATTCGCTGCCAGAGCACCCAGAGAGCTGCTACTAAGGCCAAAAACCAAACGAACATTTCACAGCATCGTGAGCACAAGACTGAGTGACATATATTTTGGGAGAGCAACTTGCGGGGCTCTGTCGTTGTTGATTACACCTGCCACACGTGGCTCTTCCACGTGCAATGCTCAGGACAGTCACCATGGTCGGAGCAGACTCGCTCTTCTTCCAAAGTAGACCTTGCTTTGCCTACAACCCATCCACCATAGGCGGCGCCCATTTCAGGAATCGCCTGTTGTGAGCAGCTTGCTTCGGCGCTGAGATTTGGAGTCTCCCCATCCAGCTCGTGGCCGCGTTCACCGCACTCTTCTCGCAAGTGGCAGCGACCTCGGGGAAGTCGTCAGATTTGCGCGGGGTTCCATTTGTTGGCTGCCCGGTGGACTGAAACCCGTTGTCTTCTCCAAAAGGGGAACCCTCGGTTTAAGTCTTTGAGGTAACCAACAAATTGGAACCCTCGGCCTGGATCTGCCTGTCTTGTTCCTTGGGGGCCCTGTGTTCGGTTGTCCGGTCTCTTTGGGGTGGGGATATGCTCATGTTGGGTTGCGATTTTTCATCAAATCAGCTGCTCGCTGGTGCACTGCAAGCCTCAAATGGGCGGCAACGGGCCTGGCTCAAATTCAAGGATTCGGGGACTGCAGTTGCACAAATTGGGCTTTGGAGTCCCCTCTACATATTTGCCATGGCTAAACTGTCAAGAGATGGAAAATTTGGATACGCTATGCGTTTCAGGAATTTGATGGATAGACATGTCAAGATCAACTTCATGATTCTGACACATTTGGATGTCCTCCGTTGAAAGGTCATTTTTCATGTCAATGACATGATTTATAGTCTATGTGTATTGTATATATATATATATATGTATATACATATCCCGAGTGCTTTTGCGCGATCTCCACCCATGTTTCGATCACCCTACAGATTGAAGAATGAACAATTAATATTCTAGATCCATGATTCTGTCATCCAGGAGAATCACATGTATATTTATAATGCACATGTTTATACATGCATTGTTTACAGTGTATCATGCACTGTATGTGCTTGGGTTTCGCACGTCAAGGCGCCATGTTTCAGCACCCGCATTTCATTTCGGCGGCGGATTGCAGCTGTGCACGTGGTTCAAGCCAGGTCGGTAAGAAGATATGAGTTCGTAGCTCCCGCTTCATTCTAGGGCATACTTATCGTTATGTTTTGTTTCAACCTGCCATTCAGAAATATTCGGATGCTATTCAGGTTTGCCACATTGCGGGGGTTGCATCCCATTGGAACTCAGTAGCTGACAGCATTCTTGGCCGTCTATTGTTACAACTTGTTGGTCTTTGGAGCCCATGCGGAGCCCTCTCGAAGCTCCCATCAAAAGCCAGGGTGGCTTCCAATTGTTTATGTGCCCTGGGGAACAAGTAATATTGTCCGTATCTCAATCGATTTGGAGGGGCGAATCCTCAGCGACCCATGGCGGATGCAAGCCAGCGATCGCTGCCAGCGCAGCCTGAACCAGCCCCGCAGCAGAGAAATTCGAGACTCCCCATCATCCCGGGGTGGTTCCGCGCATTGTGCTGTTTGTTGTGGCTTTTGGGTGAGTTTATTCGAGTTGATGCTTTTGGGAAAAGAAACAAGTTTTGGCAATTCTGCTGTTAGTCAACTCAAGCTGGAAAAGCCCATGCCAGGGTCCAATCATTCAGCGGTTTGGAACTGGTAATGCTGACCCCAATGGGATTCAGCAGATAACAACGGTAAGGTCTTATTAGGGAAATCGGAAACGGATATCTTTCTTCACGTGTGACGGTCTTCAGCTATGTGCCAGGGGAAATTGGAAGCCACCAAATCACAGGCACCATTGATGCAACAGCAGCAACTAATTGTGGACCGATTGCCACAGCGGAAGCTTTCAGATGTTGAGTTCTTCGAATACTGCAGCAGACCTACAGAAGCCTTGTCTGGCAGCAGTGACGATGTTGGAAGCAGCAGAACACAGCATTACCTTCAATTAGTTCATCTCGAGCGAGCGTTCAAGATCAGTGTGCTGAGGTATCCCAGCTGGACTTGATGTGTATTTGCGGTGGTATGGCTTGCTGGTACATCGCCAAAGACCAGCTTGGTGAGGCACGGATGGATAGAGGGGGCAACCGACTGCCGAAGAAAAGGAAATAAGCTTTCCGATGAACTGTAATGCATCACGGAGCTGACATGGAGGAAGGGAAAACCAACTTCCTCAGTGATATTGGATGCCCCGCTGAAAATGCTATGATTGGCCCAGAGACAATGATGAAAGTCATTGCTCAGCCTCCTGCGGCGCTGTGTTTCAGGCATCGATCTGCCCGAAAAAACAATTCAACATGGTGGGTAAGCGTCTATTCTTCATGGCTTGAATTCAAGCAACGCCGCGCCACCAAATTGAAATGTAAATGTGCACGTTTTAGGGCATCCTCAGTCAGAGGAGCAACCCTTACAATGTTGGTTTTGACATGTGGGTGGGTGGGTGGGTGGGAATACTTTGGTGCTTAATCTACGCCTTGAGTTTTCCAAGCGCCACGCCCGATCCACCCGATCTCACTGCTTCAAAGCGGGTTTTTACAAGGCCACCAGGGACTCGCTTGGGGTGTGCCCAAAGGATGGGCGCATGCCCGGACCAGGGCTGAGAGACACGACTGCCGCCTTTTTCGTGTGCGCCGTTGGAAACGCAGCCTCACTACAAGCGGAACACGTGACAAAGCTTGTTCAACGGATTTGTGTCCAGGCGCCACATCTCGTCAATCCCAAAACAAGAGCTGAACTTAGGTTCCTGCTCGCTGACCCAAAGCGCCCAGCGGAGAGATTTGCGAGACTCGGTCCAGCCATAGCAGACAGATTTCTATCCCTTCCACCAGGTTAGTCTCGGAATTAGAAATCCCCAAAATGTTTGGATTTCTTGTGGCTTAGCTTGAAAGCAACTGAGGTGTATTGATCATTGATCGTATAGATATGATGTATACAATCGACATGAATGAAACATGTTTTACATCCATGTTTACCGTGTGTTCTTCCTTGAACACCAGTCGGAAAGAAGTGTTCTTGTTCAGGACACAAGTGTTGCTTTCCTAAAATGCGGATGTTTTTTTCCATAGCATGGAAAAGATGCCATATGTCCCTTCGGCACTGGCTGAGAGACAGAGTTCCCAAGTGTATCAGAATGGACATCCCCGATTGAAGGAAGTCTTAGAGTAGGCATTGGTGTTTCCAGAAATGGGAAGGATAAAGGAAAGCCATCCGGAATCCAAATCGAAGAAGAGGTCTGTACTTAGAAAGTGGGTAAGAACCATGGTTACAACCCACTTACCATAGTAACAAGTCCCCGTTCAGTGGGTTATACCCATACTAACCACTTCCTAGGTACCCGATCGCCCCTTGAAGTAGGCCACCCTTCTGCGCGTCAAAAGTGCGTCGAGGCGTGGGCGCTTCCGCTGGCCAAACGCAGCTGGCCCTTGCGCCTGCTGGGCGCGGGGCTCATGGCGGCGTCCGTGCAGCTCAGGCCTCGACCAAACCGTGAGGTTTGGGGGGGACGAGGGGAAGAATGATCAATGGAACAAAGGGCCAAGCCAACATTTCGTATTTGTTGTTTGGAAGGAAAGAATGAAACAATGGGCCAACATGTGGTACTGTATTTTTCGTTGGGCCCTAAATTATCAACGACTGATATCCTAGACCCTAGGAGGAGGTTTGATCGAGTAAACGAGGTTTGATGGAGCACGGAAATTGTTTTTTGAACCGATGAACCTGGACATTTGACAATGGCAAGCACGAGATAATTGGAGAATGGGAAGTCAAGTTAGTTTCATTCACTTCGAACGTGTTTTAGATTTCTGGGTGTGGGTGGGTGGGTGGGCCGGGCATTGGCATAAGTCTGAGCTTTGGTGTCTGGTATGTTCAGCATGCTTGGCAACTCTGCCTAACCTTTGGAATTTCGGCAAGCGATGACCTTTCAGATCGGTTGGGCAGCTAGGGGACTGCCAAAGATACGAGCGCGCTTTTGGGGGACTGTGCTGCTTTTTTCGTGGACCACCCGAAGAAGGCGGAGTCCAACAAAACAACTGGAGTCCCTACTTTTGACAATTGCCCTCTCGCTGCATCTAAACCCTGCCCATTGTTGGGCTGACCCCCCCTCTTTTTGGCCACTGTCTCAACCTTTTCCTACTGAGATGCTTAAAGCGCGTCCCCAATGGCGATGGGAAAAGGCGGTTATGCCAGGGGAATCGGCGCCACTTGTGGTCAAAGGCTCGCGGGTATGACTTTTCCCGAAGGAAACAAGCGGGTTTGACAGAGTTGGGAAGCAGAAAGGTGGAACTGGGGTGAATTGAAGTGGACTTTCTGCCTGCAGGTTTGAGCTTGGTAGATTAATGGTAGATTCAGGTTGTAAGCTGGCGCTGATTCACTGATGCGCCTTTTTCAGCCATCATTTGACAGCGTGTTGCAAATCTCTTGGTGCTCGGACCCTCGGCTGTTGTGTCAGATCCGCTCCTTTTGGAGTCCTTTAACAAGCGCCTTGGGCCCGAAAGAGCCCAACTTTTGAGGCGAGTCCCTCATGTCAGCTGAGCCATGACTGAGGATGAGCTCCATCGAAAGGTTTCAGCATCACCGGACACCGTTGACGCACAAGCAGCAGTCCAGGGTGCTGGTGACGGATGGCCCGTTGGCTGACAGCACAAGTGGTGGGGAGTGGGTTCGAGGTCAGTGTGTTTAAACGCACCACTAATGAATAAGACCCCAAGTAACACAAGATGAGCAGATGTTAGATTGGAAACTACTTCCAACAAACCATCCAACTCTTGGTTTTCTCAACTTGGTGTGTTTCTTATGATACACCCTAATTGGCGTGTAAACCCGAGCGAAGAGAACCAGCGTACAGAAAGATGACATGAAACATAGGTGAGACAATAAGGTATACATCTACGAATATTACGATGATTATATCAAGATATGACCACAGCAAATTGGCCACCTATTCAAATGAAAGGAAACCATTGAATCAACCACATGTGATGTCTATGCGCGTAACATGTGCCCGAGAAACTTCTTGGAAGGCAACACAAGGTAAAGATGAAACAAATAAGCCCACGAGTCCCGCTTGTTTTGTTTTTCCCAAAATGGCACAACTTGTAGTAAATAAGTACCGTTCAGATACTATATGTAAAGGAGTTCGTAGAGCACATGCGCCTGAGCACATGCACCTGAAGCATTTTACTAGCCACGAACAGACAACTGTGTTGTGTTAATCTATTGGCAACAATTATGTTAGGCTGATGGTAAGAAGATGCAACGTATGATGAGAAAGAACATCACAAGGAAGACATGGAGCTAGACCTTAGACAATGAACAACCCGCAACCTTGTCACTGTTCATTATGTGCGAAAGGCCCTCCACACAGCCGTGCCATGAAGGATGCAATTCAATACAACACTTGATTACTGCATCGCCCATAAATGTATGTCTCTATGCAGTGAACTATAGTCAATCAATAGTGTTCAATTGAGAAAGGCAACTCATCATGTCAAAACCATGTTTGAACTAGCACATATGATACAAGCAATATAGTTTGCAAAGATGAAATGACTAGCGACATTGGACACACCATTAGAGTGGTGACACTGTAAACATGATCCATGATATGATCCATAGCATGTTGCAAAGCTGTGCTGAGTCAAAGCTTGGTGTTGCATGCAAGCCTAGAAAGGTTGCAGAGACTACGGGCAATACTGTAGTATGTCCTATTGTTTTTCTCAAAATACTTCTCTGGCCAGAGGACAAGGATGTGATCAACAATTGCAACTGGCATGTCATTATCACAGCAAAATACATGTTCAACATGGGAGTAGCACAATGACAATGAGGAACGACACGTATTTGTCTTGCGATTCGCCCAGCTCAGCTCCCTTTTCGTTGCAACATGTATTTTTGGTTTCCAAGGTTATCCAGCAATTTCAGAATATCGAATTATATTGCGTTCTGAGCAATGATGGACAACAGACAGGAGATATCAGGTGATAGATACGCAGGGAACATGTTGAGAAAGATCAGTGTTTTCTCCGCCCTATCATTCCTGACGGGTAAAGAGAAAAAAAGTCTTCCTTCACTCGTTCCCTCACTCACACTCTGTGTCCTACAGCCTCTCCGCGGCGGCTGGTTACCAGAAGCAGGCCTGAATTTTGTCACATTTTTAATGATATGCCACAAGATGAGTCGGTTGTCCTATCGCTCTTCTCCTAGTCCGACCATGAAAGGGCTTGAGCAAGAGGCCCATGTCGCATGTGTGATGTCATCGTTAGTTGCTGGTGACACTGGCCTTGTGCGGCGACTTGACGCAAGGTTCCAGTGGTCGCGGAACCCGATGTACCTGAGCATGCTCGGCAACATCGGCTGCTTGACCTCGAAGATGTTTGTGCATGCCCTGTTTTTTTCTTTTTTTTTGCCGTTTTTGTAAGGCACATCAGGACGTCCGTGTTCAAAGAGCAACTTGCAATAAAGTTCGCGAACATGCATTTGATGAAGTTGAAGAGCCGGCAAAAGGCATGCAGAGAAAAGCCTCATTAGCAAACAGGTTCTCCCCCGTGATGGTAGCCACGCCCAGCATTACTTTAGGAGCGTAATGAAGAGGTGTGGCTGTAGGGATGGCTGCACGCGCACAATGTTCCAGGAAATTTTGTCGTGCAGATGTCCGGTGCCCATGTCCAAAATGATACCCTTTCTTCGAATCTTTCTTGCGGCAACCCCATCCAGCCCCGTACTCTGATTTGTTGGGTACCCTCCAGAAATGGTTCAATGTGACTCGTGAATATATATATATATTTAGATTCATGTTCAGGTACACATTGGAATTGCAACCCACAAGTGCAAGTTTGCTTGTTCACATACACTTTCCAATATGGATCATGTTTGTCAATACTCTCTTTCTTCGCAAAACATTGTGATGTTGATGGTTTTGCATCCAGCCGACCCCCTTGGCCGAAAATTGATACACCTGCATTTCCCCAGGTTAGATCTGATCATGTAGGAGTACTTGTCATATTGTCCGTCTTTGTTAAGCTTCTTGCAGCTGCAAGGCTCGGTGGGCCTCATGGCCAACACTTGGTGGTGCCTAGTGGCCACGCTGCCCTTTGCGGCGTATCTGAATTTCTGGATCATCCCTGGCGAAGAGGAGTACCTGCGGGCGAAATTCGACAGCGACTCGGGCGAATTTTCTCTGTGCACCGAACCATACAGAAATGGGATCGCTGTTGAGCTATCTTGTGCTCATGGCAGGTTACAGGCTCCTATTGTCACTCCCCCGCTCAGGCAGCTCTGGATTGTGTGATTTCATGCTTCGCCAAAGCAGATCCAGCGTTGCGCAAGCGTTTTTGCAGGTAGCTTGTTCTCCCAACCGCAAACAGTTGCCCCTTGTGTGGAAGACTAGCTTCGCGGTGTTTTGTCTACAAATCCATTATCCACGTTAGTTTCGTTTTCGGGGGTGCTAATGTAAGTCGATGGTTGCTTCGCAATCATGAAACATGGATAAACATTTTTTCCCAGATTGCAAGCTTTGTCAGATTATGTGATTAATGTACAACACCGCCCTAACGTGTGTTGAAGTGCAACAGGCATGGCCCTTTTGGTTTGAGGTTCGAGCTGGGGTTGGCGACCCAACTACCTGGCTTGCAGAATACTAGGCAAGTTGGTTTGTAAGGCGGGAAAGAGAAGTCGCGCACTGGAGCGTGTGAGGCCTCCGGGTTCGGAAAATGACATGTTGATCATGGGACTCAGGGTGCTCTTTGTTGGTTGGTTATGTTTGGTGGTGCATGATCATGCAACTGTGTTGCCAAACTGGGAAAAGCTAAAACACGCAGGCACGTGCAAACAACTACATGTACGCACCCAAGCACTCCACGAACGCGGACATGCATCCCCAAACACACAAACTGCACAAACAACACAAACAATACACAATACACACAATAACACAATAACACAATACACACAATACACACAATACACACAATACACACAATACACACAATACACACAATACACACAATACACACAATACAATATGCACATACAACACAACACACACACAACACATGCACGACGTACACAATACACAGACTCACAATACGCGCACAATACGCACACTATACTCACAAAATACACATCACCCGCACACGATATACTCAAACTACACGGCACACACAGACGCACAGACACACACAAGCACACACACGCAAACCACACAGACCATACAGACGCCGCGCTGAAATGCACATACAGACACACACACACGCATAAACACACAGACACGTACAAGCATACAGACATCACATAAACGCGCACACACACACACACCTACACACCTACACACCTACACACACACACACGGGTACACACACACACACATAGACATCCGCACAACACACACACAGAGACCTGCTGGCAGGCCGTACGCATGCGCGCACACGTGCCTGCACGCGCGCCCACAGCCAGACACGCACACACGCATATATCCACACACAGGCGCCACGCAGACCATACAGACCACACACACACACGTGGGTTCGCACAAAAACACGCGCTCACGCACACACAACCGCAGTGCACTCACGCACGACCACAAACACACACATGAAATGTGTTGATTGCGATTCATGCTACTTTTAAATGCTCGATGCTTCCTTTTGTTGCACACTTGCGCAGCGGTTCTTCAGAGGGTTTCTTTTTTCGTTGCCGACGAACGAGGTTACGAGGAGTATGCACAGCGGACCCGACGGTGGCTGTAGCGAAAATCGGTGCTGAGCAAGGGCTGCCCTTGAGCAGGGTTGCTATGGGCTTTGGTTTACTGCTACGGAAATCCATCATCCTGCAATCAAAGCATGTACGCCAGTTGATAGTGCTTTTTTGGAGGTAGGACATGGCGGCCCTAACTCAATTTCCATAACAAAGACCAACACCAAGTTTTGCATAATTACCCTTTGGGGGACCAGCGACATTGTGCATCGTTCACGTGCAAAATGAATAGCAACATCTTTGCAGAGCAACGCAATGTAAATGTAAACTATGCCTCGAGAGCAGAAACGGCTCCAGCGCAACAGGAAATTTATCTTGTTTTCGGTGGGCACCTTGGATGAAGAAGCCTGGCTTACAAACACAAAAACCGATGTCATCCTCAAAAGTGTTCCCGATCTTCTCTGAAAAACACCAGTGTTTATATAGTTAGGATCAACAATACCCAAGTGAGTTTTCTCCAGTCTTCGGCTTGGCTTTCTTGAACAGGTTAGACTGCTGAACCGATGTTCACAAGGTTCCAGTCTGTTCATTCCGGAGAGGTTTGAGTGGACGGCGCTGGTGGAATGCGCTTGAAGGGAGTTCCATTGGATCACGCTTGCCTGTCTCGGATTGCGTTGGACTTGAGGCGCAAGCTGCGAAGTCTCTGGCAATTGAGAGCCCATATCGGCTGAGCAAAGAACAGCCAGAGCCGCAGTTTGCTCTTCGAATTTTAGGAATCTGGTATTGCCCTCTTGCATTCTACAGGGGATAGAGGCGGTCACATACCGTGGGTGGTTTCAATCCATGTCTGTACGCTACCATCCAAGTACAAACCCCGGAGAATCTGGGGCAGCCGTGGTTTTGTCTCGGAACCATGGCTTCCAAGTGACATATGTTACGATTTTCTGCCAACAGCTACCGTCGGTTATACACTCCCATGCTCACCGCAAGCTCAGGCGTGGTCCGTGATCCCGGGGCTCGCAACGATTGTGCTGGCAAAGTGCTTCAACCTCATCATGCGGGGTGCCCGAGTTGAAATGTAGCTGAAACCATGGAAGAGTTGTCCACGCTCTCAAGAATGATGGTAAACATATCACATATATCCCGATACACGTCCTCTCAATAAGCATACACTCGTGATGCTTGGTAAATGCCAGCGATATCAGCAACATCATCGGAGTTGAAGCGATACCGTAGATTGCGATACAGTGGCTGCGCAAAGTTGTAGGGTACCTCGGAGAGCTGCAAATCAGCAGTTAATAATGCTCAGGTCTATCCAGGGGTTGTGGACACGGCAGTGCACACAGATGAATCTGCGAAGCATTTGTTTCAAGCCAAAAACGTTCCGTGAGAGAGCTAGACCGGTACATTTCATGGGCTTTTCATTGCGAAGGCATAGAATGTGCCAAGCATGAGGTGTTGGTGCTGTGTCAACGTTAGGCCTTTCAAGAATGTGTGCTTTTGCTGACTCTGGCATATGAAAAGGGACACTCCATGCCTGCACAGTTCACTTTTCCAAAATGAAACTCGGAGTGAGCCCCGAGATCTTAGTATGCCTCCATTTTGCAGGTGAAAGGTCAAACCCTTGCAGGATCCAGGCTTTCACAGATGTTGGAGAAGCTTGCCATCAGTGGTTCGGGGCGGGGGAGGGAGGACATCAGAAAAGCCAAGCAACCTATTCATGCTTGAATGTCCACTCAGGGCAGGGTTGAGTAACAACCCAATGTTGAGTGTCAAAGGTGAACAGCGCAATGCTTTTCTGATGCCCAACAGTCGAATAATTTTGCAGCGTGGCAGGGGCTACGCAGACGGCGTCTACCGAGATCGCCTTTACTTTGCAAAGGCGGGCTGTAATCTGTGTTTGGCTTTGGGGACAGCGGAAAAATTGTCTGAGGTGTGTTGCCAATGTGGAATGTTTGCTCAATCGCGGGTTGGGTCAGGACTTTGCAACGCCCGACATATGATGCAGCCGTGGAGTTCAGTTAGGAATGATTGATGAAGCAAGCTGCTCTGGCCAAGCTGGCAGTACCATCATATTCACGACTCTGGAACGTGACAGGGAACGGCGACTGGCGGACTTTGTGATTTAAAGTGGCTCCCGGTTTTGTTTCACAGTTGGGGTGATTGCTATGAAGAAAAGACTCCTTTGTGGCTAGTTGTGTGACTGGGAAATGTTGACCAAATCAGTTAGTGTCCCCAGAAAGCTTCCAAGAACCCTTGTTGCAACCGCTAAGAAGGGTATACGAACCTTTCCTTGGTGCTCCTTTGGTTTCTTCCCCACTGGATTGAACGAAATCCATTTCGCACCACCTAAGAAACCCTGGGTTCTGATGATTCCCTTGTACATTCCAAACAGCCTTATGGTTTCAACCATGGTTTCATTTCGTGGGGCGAGAAGCGGATTTCACAACACTCCACAGTATCATTGCCGGTCGGCTTTCCCGGTTGCTCGTCATGGCTGGGCTTCCTGTCAGGATGAGCGCCTGGGGCGCTGCAGCGAGGGCTTCACGCACCCTTGGCCAATTTTCGGATGGGCCCTTTGAGAAATCCTTGCGCTGCTGTAGATGTAGGTGGTGCCAAATGGACTTCGCAACCATTCACAGTACGACATCAGAATTCAACATTGTGGAGATGTTTCGTCTCATGTGACAGTACGAAAGCTTCACGTGTATATGAGTCTGTAGACATCAAGATTCACAGGCACAGGCACATGCAAGTGCAACTTGAGCATTTTGGCGAAAAAAAACACTTTCTGCAGCACTGGGAACCCTTCCAATAGATAATTCGCCCGGTTGCAAGATACTACGTACCCGAGAATTTGCTGCATGCTGCGACCGTTGGCTTGCAGGCTTGCGTATGGCCAGTGCACCCCTCTGAGATAAGCGGACTGGTCGCAGGAACATTCGAACCCTTCGGATGTTGGCCGGAGGCTGAGGCAGACCTGCAGGGCTAACGGGGGGGACTATGGCCCATGAGAAGGGACAAATCCTGATCACCTTCTTCGCCAAAACAGGGATCCGGGATTTTCTTAGGTTCAAGCATCACTTGACTCATGTTCGAGTTTCGTTTTGGGGCGATGAACAACGGGGGAGGACCCAGTTCCGGTTGGCTGAGGCTTGGACACCGGCCTACGAAGAGGTCATCACAGCTGCGCGGAAAGAGGACGCAGGGGCCATGTATTGCCACTGCCAAATGCCCAGATGCTATCTCCAGGCAACGCTTGTTTTTTAAATATATAGCAGACCACAATGTGTAAATGAGGGAATCGGTTCCCGAATGTAACCACCTTGCTGAAGAGCTTGCTTGCTGCGGCTTCCCAAAATGTTTTGAGGGGATCCTTCAACCGTACCTGCGTCGGACAACTCCTTGGCAGTAGCAACCCAACCTGCAATTACTCCCTTGTTGGGCCAATTCTTAGCAAATATTCTCCGACGTGCAGTATGTGGGATACATATCAAGCACAAGAGCTTTAAGTAGCGCAGTAGCGTATTTTGTTCTGATGGCATCCGCTTTGGGCACTTTTGCACTGATTCCGCAAGATGGCGGCGGCTGAGATGCAGTATAGGCTAGGCCTTTTCGCTGTTGCACATCGAGATGCCAGATGATACTTGCAAGTGAGTTGTGAGTACCACAATTATGAAGGCATCTACTTACCCCCCCCGGACAGCTCTTTTTTCGGGAACAACAGCGGCAGACTGGAAAACCTTAGATGTGG